GAAAATTAGAGAGATTCGGTTGTGTCCCTTTGTCTCCAGATCTGCTTTCCCAACATCACAGAAAAAAAAAATATCATGGAATATCCTGAGCTGGAAGAGATACACAAAGATCAGAGTCCAACTCCTGCTTTGCCCCAAAAATCACAGCCCAAAATCTGGACAAACATTATTATCTTCACACAGAATCTTTCTTTAGCAGCTCCTCTACACGTCAGTTATTCCAGGCTGTCATCCCTTCCATCTGCTGTTTTATGTCCCCTTCAATGGGCCCTAATTGTTTCATATACTTTCCACAAATTTAGTATTCTGCCACAACTTCCAAATTGCACTAATTGAGAGACAACTTTTGTTTTTAACACACAAAGCAAGATAATAAATGAAAGAAAGAGTCTGTCGACAGACCTGGAATGGCCCAGACACTTAGTAACTCACGTTTCCCGGTAATGAGAAATCCCAAGACCAAGAATAGATTCCTGCAAAGGTTTCGTTCGGGATGAGCAGAACTTGAATTTCATCATATCCTCTAAAGAATGAAGTCTGTATTTCATAGAACTATAGAATGAATCCTAAAATGGTTTGAATTGGAAGGGACCTTAAAGCCCACCTTGTTCCACCCCTGCCATGGGCAGGAACATCTTCCCCTATCCCAGGTTGCTCCAAGTCCTGTCCAATCTGGCCTTGGACACTTCCAGGGATGGGGTAGCCACAGCTGCTCTGGGCAACCTGTGCCAGGGCCTCACCACCCCCTGAGTAGGGAATTTCTCCCTGATATCCAGCCTAAATATTTCGTCTTTTAGTTTAAAACAATTCCCCTTTTTCCTATCACTATCTGGCCCTATAAAAATTATTTCAGACATCCATCCTTATATTCTAGGAATGTGGCCCTTCAGTATCCACCAAGGGACTGTCTGAGATTGCAGATAATTTTCCTGGTAACTTTTATTTGGCCATTCTACTTTTCCTTCCTATTACCTTACTCCACTTCCAGATGACCCAAAATGCAATAAAAGGCTGAACTTGACATTATAATTACACTGTCAAACCCAGCAAACTGCTACAAGTTTTGTATGGACAGAGCAGCCTGAATGCAGAGGGAATTGGCAGGAAATCCTATTTCAGAGGGAATTGTTCCTTCCTCAAGTGGAGTGACAGACATATAGAAAGAAAAAAAAAAGTGGAAAAATGCAAAATATGAAAATCATGTTTGGCAGATCCAGACCGAGGTCTAGGACGTGGCATTTCCAGCATTTTTGTTGTCTGCATTCTTCAGCAAAGACTCTCTCTGCAGGAACGTGCTGCACAGAACCAAAAAGTGTGGTTTTATGGCAGTAAAAGTAAGAACACATGGGAAAAAAACCTGTTAAAAATGTGAGTGGAGAGGTACAAAACCCACAGAGCAGGAACAGCACTTGGCTGCCATAAACAGCATCAGGCTAGACCCAAATTCCAACCAGACTACATATTTCCCTCCCTTCCTACCCAAAATATAACATGAGTTGGCCTTAACTGAACCGACTTGCTTTTCACACCAATACAAGTGACTTAGGGGGAAAAAAAAAGAAAATAAAACCCTGAGGAAGCACATCCCGACGGATCCCAATCCATGGTGAATCCACCTACACAGCCCTGCACTCAGACACAGATTCCTCAATATTGAAACTGGTTTTTTAAAGGGTGCAGCTGCCCACAGACGATTTCAGTTCCTCCCCACTGGTTTCATCCCTAACCTTCGCTCCAATGTCTGGAAGAAGATCCTTTACTTTGTTGTCTCCAACATGTTATCACCAAGTGAAAAAAATTTCCGGGCTGGAACTGTAGCTGCAAGGATGATTCAGAGCCCTGGATGTGTGCCTTGGAGATAATTCTATGCTGTAACTGAAAGTTAGTCTTGGAGTTAACCGGGATCTTTGTGCTGATTAAATAAATACCAAAGAGGCAGGATGGTGGGAGGGATAATGGCAAGAGACCACGGAGAGCTGGCAGGGGAAGGTCAGGGAATGGTGTGGAACAGATGGGGGACAGCCGGGAACACACTTCAACCCCAACCATTGCCATCTCCCTTCCCACACACAAGGCATTTAATGGAATTACAGAATTGTTAACGTCGGAAAAGACCTTTAAGATCATCAACACAGCAACTCCACTAACCCATGTCCCTAAGTGCCACATCCACACATTTTTTGAACACTTCCAAGGATGGTGACTCCACTGATGCCCCGGGCAGCCTGGTCCAATGCTTTCCAGCCCTTTCCATGAAAAAATTTTCCCTAAATATCCAACCTAAATCTCCCCTCTGGCAACCCGAGGCCATTTCCTCTCATCCTGTCACTTGTTACCTGGGAAAAGACCAACGCCCACCTGGCTGCATCCTCCTGGCAGGGAGTCAATTTTCTGTGACATCCTTCAGCCTTCCCACATGTGCTCTCCCAAACTGCTTGCCCACCTAATTTTCTCCAGCAACTCTCCAAGCTTTGCAAGCTGGAAAAGCTGATCAGTTTGGGACTTGTCTCTGTCAACTGATACACACTCTGTAACATCAAAACCATCAATATTTACATATCCTTTGGGATTTTTCACAATCCCAGGGCAGCAGTGCTCTCCATCTCCAGCAGTGCTATGAGTTTAGACAGCAACAACTTCCCATCCCGAGATGCAAACCAAAAAATAGGAAGCAGGAGATTCTACACCAAAACAAACCAGAGGTACAAATAACCTATGTTAAAACACACAAACCCAAACTTCCCTATGAAAATGATACTGAAATCGCTACATTTAGAAGAAGTAGAGAAAAAAATAAAAGAGAACGCACTTAAAACCAGAGAGCCAGGAGAATTCAGACCTGCTTTAGCTTGACACAACAATTACACATGCTAAGGATACATTATGGGCTGGCATGAGAACAGAGGATGCAGCGATTCCACCGGCAGGTTCACTAAATAAATGTCACTTAATCTCCACCACCTTTCCCGTCGCATGTGCTCAAGAGTCTAAATGCTCCTCACAAATAGTCTAAAAAGTCCAAAAGACCACTCAGGTTGTCAAAATAACTTCAGAAATACATGGGAAGGTGTCACAAGGTGCAGGACAATTCACAACCCAGTGTGCTGAAAAACCCAGGTACCAAAAAATTAAAGTACAAAAAATTAAAGTTCAAAACAAAGATAAACCCAGTTTGTTAAGTGGTTTGGGAAATGCAGCCCAGTCACTGCCCAAATATGCAGGAGCACTGCTTCTCCACAGCTTCTGCAAGGAAAACCAGATGGGAGTATCTGTATACAGTGACTTTTGGAACCATTTTCCAATTTAAATCTCAATTTCTAAGTCAAACAGACGTAGTAACTGAGCTCAGTTACTGTGGTGCTGTATTGGTGTCCTCCAACAAACTCAGTGAACGTGTACCAGAGGCTCAGGAGCTGAGATTCCTGTCCCAGTGGTAAAATATTACATTCCTACAGGTTTCATGGATATAGGCAGTTGTATAAAGGAGAGAAACCATACATTCCAGTCTGCTGTAGCACAGAAAAATTCACAGGAATTAGGGACACCATGGCCTGGCCACTGAAAAGCATCACTCAGACCTTTAACCTTATGAAACAGCAAAAAACAGAACACATGAAATGCATAAGAAACCAGGTTTCAGTGCTGATATAACTGTATACCCCAAAGTTTATAAATAGAATGCTTTTTTTATTTTAAAAAAGGAACACACGTACATACTTGCATCTTCTTGCTCATACCCTGTTATTCTGGCCACAAAAAATGACCACTTTCTTTAAAAGGAAGCTGGACAATTTTGGGGTGAAGAGTAGCAGAGGGGAAACCACATTAATTGCATCAGTTTATGCACACTGGTAGGAATTCCTTCTCAAATTTGGCACTTAGCACTCAGAGTTGCCCTTTAAAGCTTGGCAAGAAATTCTCCCCAGCCCACAAGTTTCCTAATTTCGTCTCAGGACACACTGGTTCATTTGGATGCTCGACCTCCAGAAAGGCAGACAACCCTAAATGTGTCAGTCTCACCTCAGTTCACTTTGCTCCCCGTCAAGTCAGATTTGACATAAATTAAAGTAAATATATAATTAAAGCTAAACTTAAGGTCAGGTTCAAGTTTGGAAAAAACAAATCTGCATGAAATTAAAAGCAACTCTAGTAGAGTTTGAGAACTGGAGTTCAGGAGTGGCAACAAGCCGGGAGCTTTCTGAACACACCTTCTCACCTGAACCACAACCCTGGGTTCAAACCCCATTATTTCACCCTCCAACCCATCCAGGTCCTCTCTCCTCCTTCCCTTTTCCTCTTCAGGTCTGACTTGGCTTCCTGCTTCTTACTCTATGCAAACACTGCTCACTCATCCAGGTATTTTAAACGGTCTTATGGCAGGAAGGTTTCAGGAAAAATGTTATTGCACCTTTCCAGAGTCATGTTTATTCCACAAAGACTTTTCTCTGCTGTCCTGTTCCCATTTGCTGCAGCCTTTCAGTCAGTCTGGACTTTTAAATCCCTACACAAGCACCAACAGAGATATTCAGAGCACCAACTATTATGCAAGACATCAGTTCCACTCACAGTCCACTAAAATGGGGAGCTCCAGGCAGTTCCCGACTCTCCAGAGAAACCAAACGCACATTTTTGGATTCCTCATATATGCAGCTGAAAGAACTGCTCAAACAGCCCCATCACAAAGGTTCTGTCTTTACCTTCTAACGCCAATTTTTAGCCTGGCTTTTATGAACCTGTGCTTAAAGACAGCAATCAACAGGTACCTGTTAGTTCTCCAACAGATCATAGAATGGTTTGGGTTGGAACAGACCTTAAAGATCATCCAGTTCCCACCTTCCACTAGCCCAGGTTATTCCAAGCCCCATCCAACCTGGCCTTGGACACTTTCAGGCATGGAGCATTCAAGACCCCTCTGGGCAACCTGTGCCAGTGTTTCACAGGACTGGAAGGTTAAAAACTGACAGCAGACCCACAGCTGAGCTCCACCACCGTGCACTCACCCCTCTGGCAGCGATCGTGTGTCCAGCAGCGCTCGATGAAAATGCCGTTTATCACAGTGGGGGGACAGTTGCTCTTCCCTTTCACGGTCCCAGGACACACATCTCCACACTCCTCCTTGTCATCCTTGTTGGCCACAATGTAGTTGTCCTCTACAGAATCCAGAATCCTTGACCAGTCGATGGTGGACAGGTAACACAACTCATTGTTCTTCTCAATCCTCACGGCACCCCGGGTGATGTTCATGAGGTTGTAGAGCCCGATCTCCTTCAGGTGAACCATCTCAAAAATCACCAGGGCATAGTTAAAGAACAGGTGAGTCCCCCTGATCACAGTGAGGTTGGGGAAAAGGCCCTTTAAACTCTCCAGGCCGTACACACGGAAAAGCAGCAAGTAGTCTGTGATCATGGTCAGCTTAGGAAAGCTGAGCTCACGGAAATCCTCTGGCTTGGTTTTAAACATCAGCAATATCTGCAAGTGGCCCTCGATCACAGTGCAGTTCTCCAGCATGTTCAGCCGGGTCAGGTTGTTGCGGATGTCCATGCTCCTGCAAACTGGGAGGCAAAGGAAAACGTTATTTATTTATTTAACAGAAGCTTAATTGTCTTGAGTTTCCTAAATACACAGTTTTGTCCGACTGCACCATAACCAGGACACATGGCCCTCTCAGCAAAGCAGGCCTCAAGTGTTAAGAAATACACTGTGGGGAACATTCCCTGGTATTATGGTTACAAAATAAGACTGAAAGAGTATTTCATCATTTTTTCTGCCATTTTGAGTGTCTGTCTGTTGCCTCTGTCACGACTCAGTGGTAACACCAGTCCTGAGACATCCCTCATGAAAGGAAGAGACATCTGAGCAACTGAGGCTGTTTTCTCTAGACAGTTGCTAGCGACACACCTACCTCGTCTCAGATTGTGCAATTAATGCCAGTGGATTAGAGGGAGTAATTTAGAATAGTTGCAGGGAGGGGAAGACATGAAAAGAATAATGGCCAGAGATGGTAGTGCTTGGGAAGAGAGCAGAAAAACCTGGAAATACACACAGGCAGGAGCACAGCCCACGCTTCTGCCCAGACTTTGCTGACAGAAGTCATTTACTACATTAGTAAGTTTTGCCCTGAGCATTCTTTTCAGATGAGGTGTTGGGGCTTTTTTGCTATTATTTTCTCAAGGGTGCAAATCTCCCTGTCTTGACTACCTGGGCAGTTTATTTAGCAGAACCAGTAACCCAAAGAACTGGCAAAGTGAACAACTACATGAAGCATAAATTAGAAGGTAAACAGAACAGTAGGAATCCAGGCACCAGCAGAAGGAAAAAAAGTTTGAATAGGAAAATATTTTTGTTAACTCTAAGCACAGGTAAGAAATCAAGAAGGAAATTCAGAGCCCCACACCAGCACAGCATAACAGAACTCACAGTGACAACCCTTTTGAAATTAAACGTCACAGAAACATCAGCCAGACCTTAATATTCAAATCCAGGTGGATTCTTCATTAATTTTTCTTTTTTGAACACTGCACCCACTTAAAGGATTCTCCCTTTTGTCTAAAGCTTAGAGAGCATCTTCCCTCCCCGCTTAAGAACAAAAAGCACAGGATCTTCTGCCTTTTTGTCACTGCATTTAAAGCTCATCAACTCTAAAATCACTACACCACAGCTTCAAGAGATTACCCAGCAACAACCAGGCCTTACAAAACTAATGCAGACACAAATATTTCATTGTTAGGATTGCCTGACTCCTCCTGGTTTCACACAGCCCACTGCTGTAGGGGTTAAAACCAAATTCTATGCAAATGTCTTAATGATTATTCAAAAATTTGCTCCACCGTAATAAAAAAAAAAATATTAAATTTGGCAACACTAATATGGGACTTGAAGCCCAATGGGACTTTCTGGCACTGTATCCAAGTCGTTTCATAAACTGCCTTCTGGAAGAAAAAGTGCCTCAAAGATTAGGGATGTACTTGAAAAAGCAGGAAAGGAAGCCCAATGACCAGCAAGCAGCAACCTCTCTGTCCCAGACTGGAAGTAACTCCAAAGCTGTCCTGCTGCACATCCCACCCTGGGGCTAAAAGAACTGGGAGAGCAACAGATTCAGCTGAAATACTCTGAATATTTATTGCAAATAAATTGGCATTTCCAAGGAAGCAAGTGCATGACAGCACGGGGCAGTGGTTTCTTCACGAAAGGAGAAGTAACAGAAGGACAAATAAAACTCACTGTACAAGTCACCACAACAGTAAAACTCAGATAAATTCAAAATCCAACATTCTGGTTCTTATTTATTAGTGGTTCTCATTACTGTTGAGCACACAGGCAGTGCTGAGGTGGTACCCAGGGCCAGCTGCTGTCACACAGGATAAAGTCCTGCCTGTTGGAATGTGACCTTAAGGAAGAGGAAAGGGAAAAAAATACAGCTCAGCTCTCCAGACTAGGAATTACTTTGTAGAGTAAGAGCTGCAGGCTATTGCTGTGGCTCAAGGCCATGAGATGCAGATACACACTGAGCATAACTGCCTCAGTCTTTCATCCTTTTGCCTAGAATTAGGCAAGTCACCAGGAACTGGACACGAGCTGGCCCCAGACAAGCCCTTCGCCCACAGCCATCACTGCTCAGCTCCATGGAAAGAGAACCCTTAGTTTGGGTGGAAAGATCTCCAGTTTGGTACAGTCAGGACCAGGCCCTCCTGGTGCTGTGGCTGCATTTCAGGCTGTAGAGATCTTCCTATCGTCCAGGAGCAGAGCTAAGGAACTTGGTCTGAAGGAGCTATTCTGGGTGGGAACTGTTGCATCACCTCAGCACCTCAGGGTGGGTGCCCAGCACTGAGGGAATTCATGATCCTCTTTGGCAGAGGAACAGATACACACCCAGCCAGGCTTCACAGAGAGGATTATCATGGAATCACACAATGGTTTGGGTTGGAAGGAACCTTAAAGCCCATCCAATCCCACCCCCTGCCATGGGCAGGGACACCTTCCACCAGACCAGGTTGCTTCAAGCCCTGTCCAACCTGGCCTTGGACACTTCCAGGGATCCAGGGACAGCCACAGCTTCTCTGGGCAACCTGTGCCAGGGCCTCACCTCCCTCACAGGGAAGAATTCCTTCCCAATATCCCATCTAACTCTGTCCTCTGGCAGTGGGAAGCCATTCCCCTTGTCCTGTCCCTCCATCCCTTCTCCAAAGGTCTGCTCCCATCAAACCCCAGCCTGGTCTCTGCAGCCCTGAAGATCACAGCTCTCACCACCTTCCTAAACACTCAAAATCAGTTAAATTACACTGTCCGTGAACCTGATTCAAATAATTCTGGGCTTCTAGAGATCACCACTAACATAAGCCATGCTGCTCTTGGTCCAAACAGCCTGAAAGCTGCTCAAAGATCTGCTAACCTACTCAAAAAATCCAACAACTTAAACATCCACACAGGACATAAACCTCCCTCGCTTCCAGCTCTCCCCATTCTGACATGGACTCCCCACTGAAGGTGGCCAAAGGCTAAGAACACCCAATATTTTGAGATGTGTGACAGAACAAAGGTTTGCTGAAGCTGAATCTAAAAAGAGACAGGTGGAGCTTTTGAAAAGTTAAAGAATCATATAAATCTACCAGAGCTGGGAGTATAACGTCCACAGTCCATCAGCTGTTTGCATTTTACAACTATTTTTGTATTTTTCACCCATTTTAAGTCCAAGACAGAATACATTATTGGTCATGAGTGCTGCCAGCAGACTTGACAGGGGGTTCCACACATTCTAGCAAACCAGGATGTCCTCTGAGTTATCCAAACTCTGCTGCTTCCAAAGCTGAGCAGCAGCAATGGAATAATGGTCACATCCTCTGCTCCAGCACTGGGGGTTCTGCACCAGCCCTTTAGTGGAAGGATGTCAAACACTGCTGGGAGCCTGGTATGGAAACTCAGGAGGCTTTCAGAGTACATTAGAGGTTTGTTTCTGAAATAAACAACTGAATAAAAGACTAATATAGTTGTAAATCTACACAGATTAAATTTTTTTTACCATTTTTTCCCACATTGAGATAAAAATCACAGTTAACTATTTTTCATGTTCTACTTCAGTTTAGTTTTTAAGTGGTAAGTACCACCAGAGTATCTGAGCTCCTTTTCTTTACCCCCTCAAGTAGAATAATAATTAAGAACATCTGAGACAAAATATGTTTTTCGGTTGGAGGTTTCTCCATCTTTTCATGTCTCTGAATTTGCAGCAGTTTGTATCTCCTGTTCATGCAGTAGCTGTTTAAGTCACCCCATAAATTTATTGTTACCAAGACAACAAGAAGCAGTTCAAAGCAAAGTAATAAGCATTTTTCCACAGCTTCCCTCAATAGTAGTTCTTCTGCAGGGACAGGGGAATTATTCAACCATTCATGATGAAGGCAAGGCAAGTCTGATCCCAGAAGATGGAGAGCAAAGTTGAGCCATCAATTATAGCACAGACAACCTGGTTTCAAAAAACACATAAATCTGTTTTCAGGGAACTAAAAATCACAAATTGATTCTCCAGTAGTAGGGCCCAAAGTTACTCCTATGCAAACTACTGGCAAAACCTCTACTACACATAAATTCCTGAATTTCAGCAGAACCAGCAGCACAGCTGCCAGAGGAAGCACATCCTCCATCCCTGCTACCAAGCTACTCACAGGAACTTCAAAAACGGAATAAATCATTGTAGACATGTTCCATCAGCCTCTCCCCCCCCCCCCCAAGTTGAACACATGAAACAAACAAACAAACAAACAAATCCCAAGATGATGAAGCCTCTTGGACAAACTGGTTTGGTAACAACCTTCAAATCCTGAATAAAGAAACCAGATCTGATGTCAGAGGTTAAGTTTTCAAGATAGAGTCTAACCAGGGGAATAGGTGGAACTTAAACCTTGTTTATAGTAAATCATGTGGATACCAAACCTTAATGATTCACTGCTTCAGAGCTCTGGCCTTTAACAATAAAGACCAGTGTAATCTGGCACAGAAGGCTCACAAACCATTTGAGGCAACTATCAGTTAATTCTGCTTTTTTATAGTGTTTGCTGCCTACCGAATAAACAAATTATTGGAGAAAAATCACACTCACTTTGGTCAAGCCAAAAGCTTTGCAATTCTACATAAGGTAGTGGTATTAGGAAACTGGCAAAAGGACTTTTGGGTTTTTCTTGGGATAACTGCTGAGACAGGAAAACATCCTGTTAAGTGACATGACAGTGGCAGGGACTGTAAGACAGTTCTACCTACTGCAGCAATAGTTTCATAAACATACAAACCATCTAATTGTGAAATGTGAATTTTTAAGCTTCAGTTTTGCACCTCAGACATTTAGATCTGAGCAATGAGCTGGATATGGACGTCAAAGTGAGCCCCTATAAACCCCCAGCCCCTCAGGGAACATCTCAGGTGCCTGTTACCTCCCACGATTCACACTGGCACGACTGAGTTGAGGGAAAACCTCTCATGGAGGTCACCCAAAGCACAGATAAGCTCCCAGCCTGGCCTACAAAGCCTGGTTTGGGCTATCTTTATGCTCTCCTCATTCAATTCA